AAAGAATGGCAAAGCAAAATCCTGAGACTAAGTTACTTGATTTTTTATCTGGAACCTAAATTCTTTTTTGATAAATGAATATAATTAATAAGTGATTATAAAACCTACAAACAGCTAAATAACAGAACAAGATTAAAATAAGTATACATAAAAAATAAATAAAAGAAAATAAGTACACATAAACACCATTTCAAAACCAGGTCATCGCTTTTTATAAAGGTAAACAGATAAACCCAATAATCCCAAATCATGAATGGTACAAGAATTACATAGAACTGGCTTCTAAGTGTGTGTTGCTGGCATAGGAATAGACAGCTCAACAGAATAGAATTAAGACCAGAAATGAACACACGCATTTATGGTCAACTAATTTTTGATAACTGCATTTCCACAAGCAGAAGAATGAACGTGGAGGCCTTCCTTACACTACACATAAAAGTTAACCCAAAATGAATCAAAGACATAGGTATAAGATCTAAAAGTATAAAACTCTTAGAAGAAAACATAGGAGTAAATGTTACTAACTTTGGATATGACAGTGATTTCTTAGATACAACACCAAACCCACAGGTAACAAAAGGAAAAACATATCATTTGGGCTTTACCAAAATTTAAAACTTGTGCTTCCAAGGCACTACCAAGAAAATGAAAAGACTAAATTGGATAAAATATTGCAAATAATTTATCTGACAAAGATTGGGTATTCATTATATGTAAAGTCCTCTTCCAAACAAATAACTCAATTAAAAATGAACAGAATGTTTTGATATTTCTCCAAAGAAGATATAGAAATAGCCAAGAAGCACATGAAAAGACAGTCAAAATCATTACTCATCAGGAAAATGCAAAGCAAAACCATAAGAAGATACAACCTCATACCTGTGAGGACGGCCATAATATAAAAGACAGGCAGTATTAAGTGTCAACAAGAATTTAGGGAAATTGGAATTCTCTTACATTGCTAATAGAACATAAAATAGGCAGCTACTTTGAAACAGTTTGGCTGTTTCTCAAAACATTAAACATAGAGTTATCATATGACACTGCAATTTCATTCCTAGGTATATGCCCAAGAAAACTGAGAGCATATAGCCAGCCAAAAACATGTACTTACATGTTAATAGCATTATTCATAATAGCCAGAAAGCAAAAACAATCAAAATGGCCACCAGCTGATGGAGTATGAATAAACACACCATTGCATGTATATCAATACAACAGAATATCATTTGGCAATAAAAGGAATGAAAAATTGAGGCATGACCCCACATGGGAAAATTTAGAAAAAATATATACTAAATGAAGAAACCCAGACACAGATAGACACATATGATTCCATTTGTATGAAATACCTAGAATAGGCAGATACACAGATACACGGCGTAGATTATTAGTATCCAGGGGCTGGGTGTTAAGGAAACTGGGATAATGACAGCTGAAGGGTTTGGGATTTCTTGGGGGGCGGGTGGGGTATAGAAAGTGCTCTGGAATTACACAGTGATGATGGCTGCACAACTTTTTGAAAATCAGAGTCTGAAAGACTGTACCCCAAACACTCCCACCTACTGAACTATTCATCTCTCAAAGTCCATATTAGCTATTGTAGGCTCATAAATCCTTCCCTGACCACACTAATCCAAACAGAATAAATCATTCTCTTTTTAAATACACTTCTAGTGTTCCACTTATGCAGTGTTACAATATATTTGATTCTATAACTATCTTCCCCTTCCCAACTTGAAAGGAAATACTTAAGACAAAATCCCGTCTCCTTTGTCTGTCGTATACCTAAGAAAAAACAGGCCTAAGAGTCAATTTGTTGAACTCCACTAATATTTTGATATATTTATTTCTTTGAGTAAGTCATGACAACACATGCAGCATTTTTAAAAATAAGACTGAGTGACATTTTAATAATAATTTAAAGGAATAGTTTACAAACACAGTTATCAAAAATGTGAAGTATATTGACATGTGTATCCATCCATCTAGACTTGAATAATAGACTATATTAAGTAACATAAAGGTAGTCATCTTGCTTCTGGTCTATCTGCCAATCACTTTACTTCTCTTTCCCTACTCAGGTAAGCTCTTTGGAAAAGTCACATACATTCACCACCTCCTTTACTTGCAGTTTCCTCCTCATGTCTACTGATACATAGCTTATCTGTCAACTTCTAGGTTGAAACTACTATGGCAAACACCACCCAGGGCATCTGTATGACCCAAACAAAAGCACACTTCCTATCCTGTAAGTTATTTCTTGATTTTCTTCTGCATTTTACACTGGTAAGCATTCCCCTTGAATTCTTCTACTGCCTTGGCTTCTGGTGCTTCTGTTTCTTAAGCAATCTGTAAGCCCTGGTTTCAGCTAGGGCTCTCTTTCTTTTTTTTTTTTTTGGAGACAGAGCCTCAAGCTGTTGCCCTGGGTAGAGTACTGTGGCATCACAGCTCACAGCAACCTCCAACTCCTGGGCTCAAGAGAGTCTCCTGCCTCTGCCTCCCAAGTAGCTGAGACCACAGGCGCCCACCACAATGCCCAGCTAATTTTTTTTGGTTGCAGCCATCCTTGTTGTTTGGCGGGCCCCGGGCTGGATTTGAACCCGCCACCTTAGGTGTATGTGGCTAGTGCCTTAGCCACTTGAGCCACAGGCACTGAGCCAGGGCTCTCTTTCTATTAATTTTTTCTATATGTCCTTTTGGTGACGTCATCTACTTCCCCAGTTAACGGAGCGCTTCAGCCTCACAGACCCATCTGTGTTGCCTCTGCACCCTTGGGTAACTTACAGGACCACAAAATCACTATATCAAAATCTGAACGCAGTACTGCGCACCTACCCTTAGATCTGATTCACGTCTTTAATTCAACCTCTCAGTTATTAGCCTTTAATCACCGAAGCCACTAATACAGCAGGACTCCTAACTCATTCCTGTCAAACCATGTTCAAGCCCACGTTACCTCTTCCTCAACTATTGAACTGTGTCCTTGCCATAGCCTCTATTAGTCTTCCTCTCACTCAGGGCCTCATTCTCACTCCCTGCAATAGTCCACTGATTGATTTACTTGTTTTTAGTTTTGCCCACATCGCATTCATACTCTGTTTTCCCCACTTCTGCCAAAGTAATATATATTTCATACACAGACAAATATACATATAATGCAAATCTGATTGTGCCCTTCTCCTAATTAGTGCAATCTGCATAATGACATGCTAATATTTATTAAATTTTACATTTTGATCCAGTTATCATGTACAGAAATCTAAGTTATGTTCTAGAGTACTGACCCGAGGTGCTCTCTTCCATTTGCTAGTCTCTTCTATTCCATTCAAAAGAAAAAAAGAATTTTTTTTAAAAGGTCCAGTCACTAGCCTCTCTGATTTTTGGACCCATTAACAGGACATAATTTACAAATTTATCTAAAAAGACTGACCTACAGGCTGAAGCCCATTTTCAATCACTCCCTAGAAATTTATTTTTGCCCTTTCTATATCAAACTAAAGTGGCATTTGTGTGGATATTCAGAGCTAAATTCATGAACACCACTCTCAGCAGGGAAACATAAAATAAGAAATTCATGCAGACTTCAGATTCTTCATGTGCATACAGAGAAGTCCAGTATTTTAATCAGAGAAGTGCAGAGTGGGAAGAGAACTCTGTCAGTGTGGCACACCCAGGGAACCGCCAGTTGTGTCTTCTTTGCCACCGTACCCAGGAGGGCTACCAGGAAAGTTCTCCTAGGTGCTGTGTAAACAGATTCCCACAACTCTAAGTCTGTGGATAGTAACAACAAAATAAGGGGGAAAAGGATCTAAAATCCTTTTGGGGAGAATAACAATGGCTACTTTATACCCAGTAATGTCCAATTTAACATGAACTTTGGAACCGGTGAGACCAATTAAAATTAAGCCTCAGCATGTGGAATGAACAGGCTTTAAAATCAGTGTCAATTCCTCAAAGAATTTTCCCAGAAATTATTTGACTCCCACTGCAGGTAAACTATTCTAATTTCTAGAATGTAAGAAAGAAAGTGGGGACTGTTAAGTTTTCTATGAAGTATCATTAAAAGTTTCATCATAGAAAAATGAATTTGCAATGAAAACATTTCCAGAAAAAATATGGCAACATCATGAAGTGCACTTCTTCCAAGTTTGTACTTTTTTCAATGTAATTATAAATCATGTTCACAATAGTGAAAACTCTTTTTATTCCTTGGAAAACACTGATTGAATGTAGAAGGTGACATTCCAGTATACATACTGAGATTAAATCTGTAACACCTATTGAGATTCCTGAAACTTATTTATAAAAATTTTATATCCCAAACACAGTAATTCTAAATTATACATTACCCTATGTAATAAACAAAATACAAGCATTTCCATGAGCAACTGAAGGGGAAATTGGGGACTAAAGAAGAAATGATATAACCAAACTCTGGAGTTTCAAATGTGGTTGAGACCCTTTGGGTTGGTTATTTAACTACTAGTATCAACAAGTAAAACTGCATAATAAAAACAAAACTGGACAGACAATCCAGTTCTTACAATTGTCCGTCACCTTCAAAACTCTGTGTGAGGCTCACCAGCGGACAACCCGTGCGTTTCCCTTACATACCCACGTGAGCCCCACTCAGTACTCTGGTCTCGCCTTCCCTCTTCTCTATAGACTTATGCTGCAGCCCATATCCATTCTAAATCCAAAACCAAAACCAAAAACAGAATTGTTGTCACTCAAGCGTCCTAAAACTGTGCCCCTTTCCTTGAATGGAGTTTGTCCCTTTCAACATGGTGTCGGAAACATCACTTAACAAAGATATTTAATCTAGAGATCACGTTTCCAAATAACTTTAACTAATTCAATACTAGTCCTTTAATTATACACACATAAGGGTAAGCCAGAGTATTTACTCTCACATGCAATGTGAATTAATAAATTCGTAACCAGTGATCTGTGCAAGAGACGACATTTTTGGTCAACAAAACCAATGCTATACTCACGGTGCAGGTTGGTGGGGCTGGTTTTCAGCATTTCTTGGTGTTTTGCAGACGGCAGGCTTCGCCATGTCCCTGACAACACACCTGGGGCGCATGATAGACAGTACAATGCACTATTAATTCTAAAAGGGTAGAATACATCTGGAAATTAAACAAGGTACTGAAATCACAATCTAAGGAAACGTCTTTACAAGCCCCTTCAATAGTAACCTTGGGGCCCTGGCAAAGCCCCTAGCGTTGGAAACCTTTGACTCAGGATTTCAAAAGTTCAGTTATACCCCAAATAAAATACGTACTAGCCTGTGTATTAACTTTGTCTTTTGGCATCAATAAAATGATTCTCAGCCGCTTTTCCCATAGCAGAAAAGCTACTGAAAGCTTTGGCCTCACCATATGAAGACATTCAAAAGCTTAAAAATAGGAACAGCTGTTGCATTGATAACATTAAAAATTGAACAAGATTTTCTGTCGCATGGCATTGGCTATTTAGTTAAAAAATACAGATTTTAGTTTTACACTATTTATCACCATACAGGTCTAACTGTTGATGCAAAAGGTTCTGAGAGGCCTCAAGACATTCCCCATGTTCAAAATTCCCCTTACACTAAGAAAAGAAGAAGAGAAGGAAATGCTTATATGTAAATTGTGTGTGTGTGTGTGTGTAGAAGATACTTCCAAAATGTGCAAAAAAAAAAGTAAAATGCCTTTGGGCCTTAGTCCTCCATCATAATAAAAAGATAGAGAGTGTAGACAAAATAATAAAGCTCCGAAGGGCAGCAGGAAGACAGCTTCTTGCTTTCATGCGAACTGGGCTTACAGAGCCTTGGAGAGATTCATTGGCAGAAATCAGAAAACATCTCCACCTGAGTCTCTGCTTGGTTGGCTCAGATATTAGTTCTCAAAAGCTTTAAAACAAACACAGCTTTGGATAGGGCAACGCTGGTCGTAAAACTGAGACTCCACACCTTAGACTTTGGTAACTGGAAATGCCTCTTAGGACTCAGAACCCTTCAAATATAATTCTGGCTCTTAAGAGGGTTCATGGAGGCTTCCTGGACATCTGACTGCACTGCTCAAATTTAAGGCCATTCACGTTATTCCCGAGGTGGATCACTGGCAAGGCAGTGGCAGAGCTTAACTGTTTTCCCAGAGCTTAGAGCTGCGCGGCAAAATTCTCCACTTCTGAAAGAAAGGACACACGGAAACACGGACGGAATGCACAGAAACGAGCACACACACCCGCTCACTCCAACACGGGTCACTAAGACTTCAAATCAGCCCGAACACACCCTGCCCAAGGATAAAGCAATAATAATAACGATGTGTGTGTCAAGAGCTGATGCTTAACCAGGGGCCCGGGGGGTGGAAAACCTGTGGCCTCTGGCTCCTTGAGTGCGGCCTTTCAACTGAATCCAAATCAATAAAGGGGATTGTTCTGTATAGTTTCGGTTTAGTTAAGGAGCCACACTCGGGGATCTGGAGGGCGACTCCTGGCCTTGAGATCACAGGTGCACAGTCAAAAACATCCACAGGAATACTATTCAGCCATTAAGAAAGATGGAGACTTTACATCCTTTGTATTAACCTGGATGGAAGTGGAACACGTTATTCTTAGTAAAGCATCACAAGAATGGAGAAGCATGAATCCTATGTACTCAATTCTGATATGAGGGCAATTAATGATGCACTACATGGTGGGGGGTGGGGAAAGGGGGAGAGCAGGGGGAGAGAGAAGGAGGGAAGAAGGTGGGGAAAGGAAGAGCAGAGAGTGGGAAGGAGGGAGGGGGATGGGATCTCAGTGTGTGACACACCTTTGGGGGGCAAGACACAAGTATAAGAGGGACTTTACCTAACAAATGCAATCATGTAATCTGGTTTCTTGTACCCTCAATGAATCCCCAACAATTTCAAAATAAAATGCACAGGAACCACTGAGCCGGATGTTCTTGCTCCAGTTTCCTGGGGAAAGGGTGATCATGCAGCAGCATTATGAGAACCTCTTGGAAGGCAGCTGTTAGGGAGAAGTAAGATCCTAGGGTTTCTAAGCTTCGAAATTTTAATCTAACTTACACAAGGTACAATGTCCAGTAAGTTAAATTTTACAGCACTGGAAAAATCTTTAGCAATTCTCACTTGACTAAAATAGCATATGCAACACATTTAATCTACATGCACTGGTTTGTGACAATATCTGAAATACCACCTACTTGGAAAAATTTTTGAAAAATTCTATCTATGAGAAATCTTGGTTCCTGTCTTTCTCTCCCCACCCCAAGTCTTAGTATTTATACAAAGCTCTGGGGGGAAAAAAAACAAACTACCACGTAGAGGTTTTTTTTTTTTAAATATGCATTGAAGTGACTATTTTCTAACAAATGTAGAGTATTAAACACTAAGGGTAGGATTCTAAGCAAACATTTTTTTTTTTTCTGACTTAAAGGTCATGTCTTTGTTAGAAAACTCTTATCTAGTCTCTAGTATCCAGAAGTTTTAGTTTAAACTTCGTAATAGCTGACATACTGGTTCTCCATACACATGCCATAGAATCTTTGTGATTAAAAACTTCATTTGAATATCTGAATCCTTGAGTTTAGTTCTCTAATAAAACTGAACACTTTCAAAACCAGTATCTTTATAATTAATTTAAATGTAGTGAACAAAACAAGAAAACACCCCATTTTCCACACTACCATGTATCCTGACCATGGGACAAATATTCAGATCTAGAGTGTTGCAGCCTGCTTTTAATATTCATTTTAAGATGAAAAAAAAACTTTTTTTTTTTAAGATTGCTATTTATTCTGCCAGTTTGGGGGGACTTTTAAGTCACAGTGATACATAGTCCTATATTTTATAATTTGGTCTTTTAGCTGAAATTTCCCATAGATATGAGAAAGAAGAAGAAAAATGATACCCTACACTCAGAATAAGACACAATAAAAGTATAATACACTCATAAGATTTTTATTAAGCTATGTGGATTACCATGTCTTTAAAATTATAACTGAATCACATCACAGTTTGAAGGATAAAACCTTAATAGTTCTGACAGTTCTAACCCCAGCGATTTCTGTTATCGTCCATGAATTACAGGTAGAAACACAGCAGTGATGTTTCCTTGGTTGCAGCTCTTCAGGATTTGTCTCTGCACCTTCACTCCTTTAGCTGTAGATAAGGAGACCACAGAAGCTTTCACAGCGCTGAGTTCCCAGAATTACCATGAAGATTGAGGAACCAGGAGTTCAAAGGGCCTGACCTCTTTTTCTTTGCAACGCCCCTAATTACTGAGGAACTTATCAGACATGGACTCTTCCAGTGTTCCAACTGCATGTGAACATTCCGCCTTCACTCAAGCATCACTGAAGATTTACGCAAATGAGACATTCTGCAACCACCTCGGGGACTGCTCCTCCTGACTCCGCCCTCCGCGCTGCTGAGTTTTATGAATGACTGCAATCAATGCGATGAATGGTTGCCAACTGCCCACTCAGCCGCTTCTCCTTGTCAGTGCATGTACACACGGGAGAAGCTCTCATTGCCACAAGCCTGCAGATGAGGCTATGGCAAGGCTTTCATCTCTCAAAACAGGAACTAAATGTGCTTTCAGATACTCAGAGTATATGAATTAAAAATTCTAAATGCCTTCAAGAAACACAATTTACATAATTACTTTCTCTATTTTGACTTTCCATTTTGGTGCCTGCAATCATTACCCTCAACCTCCCTTCCCCCCCACAAAGCACCACTATTTTATGAAAATTTATCTGAATTTGAGCTTTAAACAGTTTTATCTTTCATGATGAATGCAAGAACCTAGGTACTGTCCAGCAAGCTGGCGAGCAGTAGACTATGGCATATTTACATGTCTATTCTCAATCTTAGGGGTTTTGAATTGTCCTATCTTCAGTGGACACAATCACACTCAAGCAGGACTAGCGCAATATGTGTTTGTGCCTGTTTACAAAGTGTTATTGGCTAGCCTGCATTGGTCCTAAGATACCTTAGGGGAATCTCAAATAAGGTAAGGTTGAGAAAATGAAGTCCTTTTCAAATAAACAATCTTCTGACTTTCCCATCACTGATTAAAAGTACATAAAAACAGTGGAAAAACAGACCGGAAGAGACTTCAGGGGCTCCGTAGCTGGCCACTTTCCCTTCTCACTCCTCATTCAACGATTCAAGCCATTCTTCAAATTGGCATTAGCCACTAAGTATCCAACATACATACAATATTCCTATCTGCAGTCTTTCTTCTCAATTCCAGAGGTATTCCAGAGTCTAACAGACTCTACAACATTTTCACTTGAGTAGGTAACAGACCTCTTATATTCAATATTTCCAAAATAGAACTCTTTGTCTCCTCCACCACCTCCACCACCACACCATGACCCCAAACTTGCTCCAGCAGCCTTCTCCATCTTGGTTAACTGCAAATACATCTTCCAGGTGTTCAGGCCAAAATCTTAAGAATTTGAAACGTGATTCCTCTTTTTATCTTATACCTTGAGACCAACCTACCAGATTTACTGTATTTTCTAAATATGTGAATAATCTGACCGTTTCTCAAACCCTCCATTATTGCCATCCTATTCTGAGCCAAGACTGTCTTTTACTTGAATTCTCACCCCAGACTTTTAGCTAGTTGTTCAGCATTTATCCTTGTCTTCCTTCTGGGGTCTATCCTCAACACAGCAGTCAGAGTGACTCTCTTGGAAGATAAATCAGATCCTGACACCTCTGCTCAAGATCCTGTAATGGTTCCCCACTTCACTCATAATGAAGTTCTGGGTCCTTAGGAGATCATCTGGACGTCCATGATAAAGAAGACTTCATAAGACTCAACTTCTCACCTCTTTCAAGTCTTTACTCAAATGTCAAGTTTTGATAGTTGCTACCCTGATTATTCTACTTATCCCTTCGACCATACCCACAAACCAGTATTTTCATGCACACATTACCTTGCTCTACTGCTGGTGCTGCTAGGCCACACAGACACCATGTGAGAGAAACAGCCAGGGCTGTTAGAAGTACAATGCTTGCAAGAGGTGGACTTTCCACAGGTGCAAGGAAGGCCCGTGTAACCT